AGACCTGGATCTTGGTATATGCCATCAGCTTCTTATTGAGACATACTCTTGTTAAATGATAGACTGGATAATAATAAATGGGAACCTCTTTATACCTGGATGAAATCTACATTGATTTATGTAGAATACATTAGATTAATATTATGTTAGAGAGTACAAGACAATATGAAATGAACGGAATATATTGTAATAAATCACTCTGATTACAACAGGTAGAAAAGTAGAAAAATACAAAAATACTTATTAAAAATATTCTCCCCACTGTCATACATCCTGTGCCAATATTTAACAGAAATTTAGGTTTTTGATTAAAATTGGTTTCTGTTATATAATACCAGTCAATGTTTTATCATTTAGATTGACTGTGCCTAACCTTTCTCCTTGAGAAGGACCCAAGGACAGCTCACAACATTGGAAGACAATATTTGAAGTTGAAAACAATGAGTCTACAACAGTGGTTTCACATCAACAAAAGATACTATTTAAATCTAAGAACAATAAGCAAAGAGACATCTTACATCATTAGATAACATCAGGGTCTTTCCCAGGGAGTCTTCTCCTCTCAAGATGGACAAAGGATTGGCGCCTCAGCTTCAGATTCTGTCCTTCCAATGAGCACTCAGGGTTGATTTCCAGTGAGCACTCATTTGGGCTGAAATCAAAAACATGGTGGTAAGTTGGAAGGAGTCTCTTTGTTCTTCTTTGTATCCAGCCGCAGCCTTTGATTTTGTACAGCACGGCTTACTATCCATTTTAGCATTTCTCTTTCTCGAGTGGTCCTGTCGACTTCAGCAAGAACTGTCTTCTCACTCTGCTGACAGGATCTGATCGTCTTCCGATGATCTGCTATCAGGAACCAAACTTTTAGGCCTTTGCTCTGGGCCGAGGCCTATGGATTTCCTTCTTCATTCCAGAACGTTCCCGAATTTGTTCAAGAAATAAGGAAGCATCATTTGCAGGCCTCTTTTCTCCCAAGGTGGCCGACACAAGGTGGCTGACAATGTTACATCCAGTCTTATTAAAAGCCCCAAAACTGCAAACTTCAAGTATAATTTCAAATATATTAAGTTTGTAATGTGGAGCCCACTATCTCGAGCCTAATTGTATGAGGGATTTTTCAAAGTCTTTCGCATGGCTGAACATCCCAAAGCATTAATGAGATTTTCTCCAATGGGCGGTTGCCATAGACAACCTTGTGCTGTTCTACCTTTTCTCTCTGATCCCTTCTCTCTCAGCCATTTCTCTCTTTCAACTTTCTTAAGGTCAGACCAGAACATTTTAACAGACATACAAGTTTATTTTTAAAGTTTTAAATGCTTTTAATTATTATAAAATAGTGAGGTTGGAAGGGCCTCTCAGGCCATCATATCTAACCCCGTACTCAATGCAGAAATAGAAATCAAAGGATATCGGCCAGGTGGTTCTCCAAATTTCTCTCGAATGCCTTCAGTGTTGGAGTGCTCACCACCTCGCGAGGTAGTTTGGTCCACTTTCATACTGCTCTAACAGTAGGGAAATTTTTCCTGAACTTCATCTAAAATCTTGCTTCCTGGAACTTGAGTCCATTCTTACATGTCCTGAACTCTGAGAAAATATCTTGCTCCTCCTCTGTATGACAGCCTTTCAAATATTTGAAAAGTGTTAATATATCACCCCCCTGTTTGCTCTAACCCTATAATAAGGAAGTCACTTTTATGACAAAAATCTATGCTCTACTCATAACTAGATTATGTAAATTCAACCTACTACTCTGATTAAAGCGGAGCCCACATTCCATTCATTTATCTCCAGTGTGAATTCTTTGATAGAAAGTAAGATGATCACTCTGACTGATCCTTTTTCCACATTTCAGACATTTATATGGTTTCTCCCGTGTGAGTTCTTTGATGTGACCTAAGGCTATCACTCCGTTTGAAGCTCTTCCCACATTCCATGCATTTATATGGTTTCTCCCCTGTGTGAACTCTATGATGTGAATGTAGGGTACCACTTTGACCGAAGCTCTTCCCACATTCCAGGCATTTATGTGGTTTCTCCCCTGTGTGAGTTCTTTGATGTGAATGAAGGTTACTTCTCTGACTAAAGGTCTTTCCACATTCCATGCATTTATATGGTTTCTCCCCTGTGGGAGTTCGTTGATGTAAACTTAAAGTATTTCTGTGCCTGAAACTCTTTCCACATTCTAGGCATTTATATGCTTTCTCCCCTGTGTGAGTTCTTTGATGCAATCTTAGGGCATTGCTATGCCTGAAATTCTTCCCACATTCCATGCATTTATATGCTTTCTCCCCTGTGTGAGTTCTTTGATGCAAACTTAGGGTACTGCTAGTCCTGAAACTCTTTCCACATTCAATGCATTTATATGGTTTCTCCCCTGTGTGAGTTCTTTGATGCGAAATAAGGGTACCACTCCGACTGAAGCTCTTTCCACATTCCAGGCATTTATAGGGTTTCTCCCCTGTGTGAGTTCTTTGATGCGAAATAAGGGTACCACTCCGACTGAAGCTCTTTCCACATTCCAGGCATTTATAGGGTTTCTCCCCTGTGTGAGTTCTTTGATGCGAAATAAGGGTACCACTCCGACTGAAGCTCTTTCCACATTCCATGCATTCATATAGTTTCTCTCCTGTGTGAGTTCTTTGATGCAAACATAGGTTATTTTCGTTACTGAAGATCCTTCCACATTCCATGCATTCATATGGCTTCTGTCCTGTGTGAGTTGTTTGATGCAAACTTAGGTTATTTTTGTTACTGAAGATCCTTCCACATTCCATGCATCCATATGGCTTCTCTGCTGTGTGAGTTCTTTGATGCAAACTTAGCTTCTTTTTGTGACTGAAGCTCCTTCCACATCCCATGCATTCATATGGCTTCTCTCCTGTGTGAGTTCTTTGATGCAAACTTAGCTTCTTTTTGTGACTGAAGCTCCTTCCACATCCCATGCATTCATATGGCTTCTCTCCTGTGTGAGTTCTTTGATGTGTATTTAAGGCACCCCTTTGACTGAAGCTCTTTCCACATTCCATGCATCCATATGGCTTCTCTGCTGTGTGAGTTCTTTGATGTCTACTTAGGTACTTCCTTTGCCTAAAGCTTTTTCCACACTGCATACAGTTATACTGTTTCTCTCCATTGAGAGGGTTTTCATGTGAAATACATTCATTCTTCATAGTCACGTGTTTTCTATGAATTGACTTGTTATCTCTTGGTGAGATTTGTTTTTGTCAGTTATTGTCTGCCTCCCGAATATTCTCCTTTTCTCCTTCTCAATTGGTTCTTTTCAGGGTCAGAAGGAGTGGTTCCATCCGTTTCTGGTTGTCCTCTTTGTGACCTGATGGGAGGGAAAAAAAAGAGTACAGCCCAGAAGACCATCTGATTGGGGATCAAGCGAAGTATTTCTTCATTTTTAAAAAATGGTTATGGGGAAAGGACCCGATAGACACACCAGAGCCAGCCAAAAAGGAATGGACCCTTCTTCCTTAATTCCATTAAGGAAGAAGAGAATCTGTTTCCTGATTATCTTCCGGAAACGTCTTCTCTCAAACAGCTCTGCTTTTCTTCATCTTCTTATCTGATTATCTTCCGGAAATGTCTTCTCTCAAACAGCTCTGCTTTTCTTCAGCCCGCAGCACAACCTGGTCAAGGATATTATCAGAAAGGCATGTGATTATCTCAGCGGTATCAGGACAAGGCCAGTATTTATTTTCGGCAAAGGGCCAACTTTGGGCACCTAGTTCGGGGAGAATCAATTTGGCAACATGTCTGTGTTCATTCCACCCATTTTAGCCCTCCAGGAAGACCCTGCTCTGGCCCAGACCTTGCTGAAGCCAGGCCAGAAAAGGAAACTATTGCTGGGCAGTTTGTCTGTGAAATACAGGATGGCCTCCTCACCCATACTACCACAGGCCCTCCCTTCCCTGCACATGACCAGCTGATTGCATTTGGCCACTGAAGATGATGAGTGTCTGCATACACCAGCAGTTTTTTTAGCAGAGCTATACCTGCCCATATTACCACCAGCCCTCCCTTCCCTGCACATGACCGATTGCATTTGGCCACTGAAGATGATGAGTGTCTGCATACACCAGCAGTTTTTTTAGCAGAGCTATACCAGTACTGTAGATTGTGTCCAGTGTGCCATATAATTCAGACATGGCCCCACCCCAGGGCCCCCTTATGTCATTATCCATAATAGACAAGCCCTTCAACCACATAGCTATGGATTTAGTGGGGCCCTCCCTAAATCTCCCAGGGCCCACACAGACATGCTGGTGATAATCGACTATGCCCCTCAGTACCATGAGACTGTGGCCCTTCAGTCTACCACAGCCCAGAAGCCGGCCAGGGAATTATTGGTCAAATTCTTCCATGTGCCTTTACAGGTTTCATACATAAATATTATATAATGTTGTATGAGTTCGTACTCAGCATTGTTACCACACTGGATTAAAGAATTATTAATGATTTTTATGAGGTTAAAACCTTATACAGTGGTGCCCCGCATGACGACGATAATCCATTCCGGGAAAATTGCTGTTAAGCGAAATCGTTGTCATGCGAAATCCGTTTCCCCATTAGAATGCATTGAAAACGGGTTAATGCATTCTAATGGGGAAAATACCTTGTCGGCCAGCAAAGAACGCCCATAGGGCAGCCATTTTGCGTTTTTATGAGGTTAAAACCTTATACAGTGGTGCCCCGCATGACGACGATAATCCATTCCGGGAAAATTGCTGTTAAGCGAAATCGTTGTCATGCGAAATCCGTTTCCCCATTAGAATGCATTGAAAACGGGTTAATGCATTCTAATGGGGAAAATACCTTGTCGGCCAGCAAAGAACGCCCATAGGGCAGCCATTTTGCGAGCGCTGATCTAATGGGGAAGATACCTTGTCGTCCAGCGAAGAACGCCCATAGGGCAGCCATTTTGCGAGCGCTGATCACCTGTTTTTAATCACTGTCTTGCGAAGCATGGGTCCGGAAAAGAGCGGGAAGCCATTTTGCGAAGCCAACAACCAACTGTAAAGATCATTGTCTTGCGAAAAAAGGGTCCACGAAGCACGGACCAAATCATCATCAAGCAGAATTCCCCCATAGGAATGACTGTTTTGCAAATAGCAATAGCGATCGCAAAAAGTCATTTTTATGCGGATTTGTCGTACAGCGGGGTTGTCGTCTTGCGACGTACCACTGTAGAATGAAAAGCACCAATGTCTGGTTCTGTCTATTGGCCAGTCCTGGTCATACACCCTGGAAGGTGTATTTATGTTTTTTTTTCTAACTTTTTTTTTCAAGCAGTGAAGCTGCAGATTCTAACCCCATAGATATGGCAGTCTTCCTGTACTGGGAAGCAGTGCCCAGTGAGAAAAGGGAGCCATGAGTGAAAAAAGTTTGTGAACCTCTGATCTAGTTTGTTTCCATGATATATTGTCCTGTATTTTAGGAACTCTTATTTTAAAAATTGGTTTTAAAGAGATGAGGGAAAAGACCTGGTGGTTCCCTTCTCACCCCTTCATTTCCTCCCTTGGGAGCTGCAAGGTGGCTGCAATGATCCCTGTGAAACTGCCTCCCCACCTTCCACAAGAGACACTCCCCTCCCCTCATGAAAGAAAAGGGCAGGTAAGAGAGTTTTGCGGTCTTGGTGGTGGAAGGATTGATTTGCACTGGGTTGCAAGAATGCCTCTAGAATAGGGGTCAGGGAACAGGGGTAAATTGCCCCAAATGGGGTAAAAAGGAAAATCCTGGGGGTAATGAGCAGAGCACTACCCCCACCCCAGCCCCTCCAGCCAAACCTCAAACTGGAAGCCACCTCTCCCCGCTACCTTTCTTGGATGCGGCACTTGTAAATCCTTTCTTTTAGAGATCGGAGATAAGGCTGCTTGATTATTGAGTCAACCGATCTCATGTGCAGTCCTTCGCTTTTCTTACTGCACTGCACTTTTCCCTGCATTGCTGCCTTTTCCAGTGAGCTTGTCTTCTCATGATGCCACTGTCTGGTTATTTTAGCTTCTAGTGAGAGTCCACACTTAATTTGCTTTACTTATCTCTCAGACATGTCATGCTAACTGTAAAAACTCTTTTCCAACACTTCATTTCGATTAAGTAAAATGTTTGTATACACTTTAGGTAGTAGATAAAATGGCTCCTTTTCTGAGGGTGGTTTACTTTGGAGGAATCAAGTCCAAGATTTCATACCACTTAACAAGCTTTATAAATGTTGTTGTTGTTTAGTCATTAGGTCGTGTCCGACTCTTCGTGACCTGATGGACAAGAGCACGCCAGGCCCTCCTGTCTTCCACTACCTCCCGGAGTTGGGTCAAATTCATGTTGGTAGCTACTATGACACTGTCCAACCATCTCGTCCTCTGTCGTCCCCTTCTCCTCTTGCCTTCACACTTTCCTAACATCAGGATCTTTTTTTCCAGGGAGTCTTCTCTTCTCATCAGATGGCCAAAGTACTGGAGCCTCAGCTTCAGAATCTGTCCTTCCAGTGAGCCCTCAGGGTTGATTTCATTCAGGGTGGATAGGTTTGTTCTCTCAAGAGTCTCCTCCAGCACCACAATTCGAAGGCATCAATTCTTTGCTGGTCAGCCTTCTTTACGGTCCAGCTCTCACTTCCATATATTGCTACTGGAAAAACCATACCTTTGACTATGCGGACCTTTGTCGGCAAGGTGATGTATCTGCTTTTTAAGATGCTGTCTAGGTTTGTCATTGCTTTCCTGCCAAGAAGCAGGTGTCTTTTAATTTTGTGGCTGCTGTCCCCATCTGCAATGATCACGGAGCCCAAGAAAGTAAAATCTGTCACTGCCTCCATATCTTCCCCTTCTATTTGCCATGATGTGATGGGACCAGTGGCCATGATCTTAGTTTTTTTGATATTGAGCTTCAGATCATTTTTGGCACTCTCCTCTTTCACCCTCATTAAGAGGTTCTTTAATTCCTCCTCACTTTCTTCCATCAGAGTTCTAACTGTTGCTTCCTGTCCCACATATAGATTTATCAGGAGACAGATAAGGTGGTCAGGCACTCCCATATCTTTAAGAACTTGCCATAGTTTTCTGTGGTCCACACTGTCAAAGGCTTTTGCATAGTCAATGAAGCAGAAATAGATGTTTTTCTGGAACTCTCTGTTTTTCTCCATAATCCAGCGCATGTTAGCAATTTGGTCTCTAGTTCCTCTGGCCCTTCGAAATCCAGCTTGTACTTCTGGGAGTTCTCGGTCCACATATTGCTGAAGCCTACCTTGTAGGATTTTGAGCATAACCTTGTTTGCGTGTGAAATGAGTGCAATTGTATGGTAGTTGCAGCTGCAGACTAATTATTTTCAGACATCTCTCCCCACACCGCTTGTGTTGGAACAGGTTTCCAACAGGAAAAACTCCAAAAAACAAAGAAACCCTGCAGTATCCATCAAAGCATAGAAACATAATCACACCACCCAGCCAGCCCAATAGCACGTTGCAAAACCCACCCAGAACAGTTTTTATACCACGTTGCAAAAACCACCCAGAACAGTGTTTTGAAAGCAGGAAGCTGCAATTTATCTTACCAGGCACTCCAAAGCCTCCTCCAAACTCCTCCTCTCTAAATGTTGGGGCAAAAGAACTACAAAGAAGCAGCCTCTTCACCACCAACGGTTAGCAATTTGAATTCCCCGCCTTCCCCCCCCGCCTTTTTCTGTTTGTAACTCAAAGCTCCGGTCGCAAGTCGAAGCAAAATTTTGCGGCTGGAGCTGGTCATAACTCAAAATGGTCGCATGTCAGGACGTTCATAAGTCGAGGCACCACTGTAGTTCAACTGGAATGCCATCACCTCCACTGGCCTTCTTGTTATATTTTCTAAGGACCACTTGACTTCACTCTCCAGGATGTCTGGCTCTAGGTCAGCAGCCACACTATCTGGGTTATGAGGGACAAATAGATCTTTCTGGCATAATTCCTCTGTGTATTCTTGCCACCTCTTCTCGATGTCGTCTGCTTCTGTGAGGTCCCTGCCATTTTTGTCCTTTATCATGTCCATCTTTGCACAAAATGTTCCTTTAATATCTCCAGTTTTCTTGAACAGATCTCTGTTTTTTCCCTTTCTATTATTTTCCTCTATTTCTTTGCACTGTTCATTTAAGGCCCTCTTGTCTCTCCTTACAAATTACAAATATTTTTGTCATTTTAAGTATATACATAGTATACACATACAATGAAATTCACACAGACACTCAGACCCACATGCACACAGATGAAAAATCTGCAAACACTCCCCACCCACTAAAAATCTCCCACATCTACACTGCAGGCTAAGTAACACTGTCCAACTGTTCACTTCTGGTGGCCTTTACGTTCATTATTAAGTGCAATTATAGCTCTGGGATAAAAACTATCCTTGCTATTCTTTGGAAGTCTGCATTCAATTTTCTGTAACTTTCCCTATCTCCCTTGCATTTTGTTTCCCTTCTCCTCTCTGCTATTTGTAAGGCCTCGTT